CCATTATTTGAATGTCAGCAGACAGCAAGAAGCCTCCCAGATCTCCAGATGCATTTGAGATATCAAAAAAGTACTCCAGAGTTTTGTTCAGCATGGGGGTGAGTAGAAAATGAAAGCTAATCATGTTTTGGGTGTACTATTCCTTTAGGCAACTGCTGTCTCTGCTTACCGATAGTTACGCCTTTCGCCAACATACCCCAGGGCCAGGACCAGTTCTACATGGGCTCTGGCCCCTGTTGGCCCCCCTCTAGAACCGCCCTGGCCTGTTGAAAAAACGCATGGCCTCTTTGTTTATGTTTTTGGTCTATTAGGGCTGACGAACGCCGTGACGTCAGGCGTTGCAATAGATTAGGCGGAAGTTGGTCAGCCAGCAGGCAGCTGTCATCGTAGCCGATAGCCGCCTGCTGCTGGAGAGAATAAACAATAATAAAACTAGTTCAACATCTGTCGCTTAAAGGTGGAGGTCAGGTCAGCAGCAGAGAAACATGGATGAAGACGTGTTGACCACATTAAAGCTGCTGATAATCGGAGAAAGCGGGGTGGGAAAGTCCAGGTTAGTGTATGCTATTAGCATGTTAGCAGCTAGCCTGTTCTTTATGTTGACAGGATTCTAGTCGTTGCGTAATTTTTATTCCTCACTGCTCAGCAGCTGTTTGTGTTCTTGAGATTGTGTTTTCTACATGTTCAGAACAAGCTGAAAACTACCAAAAAGTTACTAGTTGGCTTTGTTACAGAAACATTTAACAAACAGCTGTGAAAGTTTCTGTTTTCTATCTTATTATCGCGTTTAACTTTGAAGGACCGATGCTGGACATTCAGCATCACAACTGTATATTTTTGTTGTTGTTTAATCTGCCGCTAACAGGAAGCTGTTTTTATTTTTAGTTCAGTTTTGTTTTCTTGCAAACAAGACAATAGCCAACTGTGCTGAAGACTCATTTGCAATTTATCCTCATATCCCCTGACAGCCTCCTCCTGAGGTTCACAGACGATACATTTGACCCAGATCAGTCCGCCACGATAGGTTCTAAACTCACTCATTTATTACACAAACTGTTACAGATCAGAAATATGTTCTCCTTTATCCACGTTCTCGTTTGTTTATCATATTTAAGGTGTGGACTTCAAAGTCAAGACACTCGCAATTGAAGGAAACAAAGCAAAACTAGCTATTTGGGTAAGTCTCTACCCCATCATCTACACAAACAAATAGCACAATATATAGCTGGGAAAAACATGGTGTAGTTAACCTTTTTGGCCACACGGTGGCGACATTGCTCAGCAGAATATACTGTTGATGACAAAGCTATTCTTGAGCTGCAGCCATGTGGCCTAGTTCTCAGTAAAATTTGAATCTCCTTTTTATAATGGGATTAGAAACTAATCCTTTATTCAAAGTAACTACAGGTAAATAGATCAACAACAATCGGGGCTTTTTTTTTTGGACTTATAAGGACTATTAATGCAAAGATTCGTTTATTTGTTTTTTGAGCACCTGTACATAATAAAAGGGGATATTTTTATGGAGCTTAAACAGTGCATTGTACTATTTAATGGCAGCTCCAGAGATTTTTTTCTACAGGTGCTAAAGGGGAGCTGAACATTGAACTGAGGATGCTATAAATCGTCCTTTTCTATTCAATTTTCAATTCAATTCAGTTTATTTCTATAGCACCAATTCACAACACATGTCATCTCAAGGCACTTTACAGTTCA